GCTCTGCCTCCGAGGACATCGTGCTCCCCACCTTGGGTTGGGATTATTCCAGTAAAGGTTATTTCCATGGGCAAAGCTTGAGATGGCAAGGCACTGAGTGGAGCATCCCGAGCACAAGATTAGTGTTGCGCAGTTTCTTCCAGTGGAACTGCATCACGCTTACATATAACTAATGCCCACACTGCACAAACAGCATAGGTAGGACGTGGTTTTGGCACCATTTTACTGCTTCCAGTCATAGTCCAGACCCACCGTTCTGCACGGGAGCCAGAGGCTTATTTTCAGAGACTGAAAAAAGCTGAGAAATTTCTTTTCCAGATTATGTGAAATTAATGAGACCGTCTTCCCACATGTTTGCAGTGAACACTGCTGATGAGTCCCTACTTCCTGAGCAATTCCATGTTGCTCTGTCAGAGGTCACTCCAGACCCTTGTACCAAAATACAGAGAAATTCCGCAGCATTGCTGAGATTACATGAGGGCAAGGATGACCTCTGCATACATATATGGTTAACATATAGCTCATGCTGGATTTCCATGGCTTAGTCAGAAATTAATTTTTGCAAAATTAAACCCAGATTTTGATCAAAAGCCAGGCTGGATCACAGCTGAGTTGAATCTAGTTTTATGAAGCATGCCTGAGAGACCCTGGAAAATGCAATTATGATGTTGCTTATTTAAAAAAAAAAAAAAAAAAAAAGAAAGAGTTTTCTTTAACAGTCAAGTACAACAGAACCGAGTCAGTGTTGGGAAGTGATCTCTGACTTTTAATTGTCTGTCGCAGATATATCATTAAAGTTGGCTCTGGTAATTTTCAAGTTTTAGGCCCTCATCAAAATATCCACACCCAGGTCAGCTATTATTGTTATTAGTGAAAAACATTCTCAAGTAAAGATTACTTATAGATGAGATGAATATTGAATAAATGTAATCCATGGATTAATTAGCTAAAGCCCTATGTTAATCAGAAAGCAAGAAAGGGAGAAACACTAGCTCATTAAGCATTTAGAAGCATGTTGTATGTGCTTCCAGGATTCTGTTACCCTCTCTCCATAATACAACTGCTTTTTATTTAACACTTGGAGGTGTGTGAGATGTCCAATGTCCTTGCATGTTAAAACTCAAAACTGTCGAATTATATAGTGTCACTACTCCAATGTGAGGAGAGACAAATTAAACAGTATAGGACAAAAAAATCAGCACTGCAACTCTATAAATTACTCACATTCTGTGTACAAAGTCTGATATTTACATAAGTAATAGCTGGCTTCATTGTTGTGCATTACTTATTCATACCTTGTGTGGAATAACTCAGAGGTAAAGACTAATCCATTAATCCCCCCCCGACCCATAATCCTAAGAAATCATAAACCCTGCAAGACACTTTATCCTCTTAGGAAAATCAGGCTCATAAGCTGCGGATGGCAGCACGGGTGGTGCTGAAGAATGGCAGCACTTCCCCGTTGTACGGCTATGCAAGTTCAGGTCAGTCCCACACGGAGCCATTTCGGGATCTGTCATCTGTTTGATACACACACGGACATGGAGAGTCCTCGTGCGACCTCTCTCACAGCACACGAGATATCTAGTTGCTCTCCCAGGCCTGCCAAGCTTGGGGCTTGTTGCAACATTTTTGTATATATATTTCCTTTAATGAAGCACCTTCTACCATCAAAGAAAGATGGGTGTCAAAAGGACATGAAATTAAATATATTCTTCTTACTTCAAATACAGCATTTTGTAGAATATCCTACCTTTTTTCCCCATGAATAATTCAATGTTGCACTGAATTCAATATGCATATAAACAACCGTATCTTTTTTTCTTTCAACTTTCTTTTTTTTGACCAACACCCTCCCATGTCCATGCACTATCAGTGCAGTATCACACAGGGGAAAACAGCACAGAGGTACAGCGAGATCTCCACCAGCCTGATTCCAGGGTGAAATCTAAGAACTCTAAGTATTTAGCAAAAAACAAGACAAACAAGGCTGGTAAGCCTGTGGTTTGGCCTAACCATGCTGCACCGTTTCTTGCTCTCGGCTTGCATGACACCATTTTGTTGCACCGAGCCCTGCTCCTGGAGGGTCCCCAGGCTCAACTGTCCAGCCTGGCTTCTGCATCGCACCCCCTGGCACTGCCTGGTCCACCTCAAAAGTGACGGTGGCTCTGCGTCTCCCACCAAGGACGTGAGCCACGAGGGACAAAGATCCCGAGGTTTCTCATCGTGCCTGTGTGGCTGCGCGTCAGCCGCGGGTGGACCGTCGCTTCTGGAGGAGGAAGACAGCATCAGCTGGGGTGGGTTATTTATTTTTCTTGAGCCTCTAAGGCAAAGGGAGAAGCAGATCATATGCAAAGGGGTCTGTTGTACCATAGGCTTAGGCTTTCTCCTTAAGGGTAAGCGCTTGGGCAGCCACTTTAATAAAACTCTTAATTAGGAAATAATTGCCAGCAGTTGCACACCTCCTTCCCCTCCATGGGATGGAGTCCAATGAAGTTGGAAGTGTGAAAGATAAGTGAAAGCTTGTGCCGGAGTGAAATGCTGCCACCCAGCCTGTAAGATTGCAATTTTGTCACAGTCCATCTTACAACTTTTGAGACTGTAAGTATGGGGCGGCGGCAAAGCAACATCCATACAGGGTTTACTGCAAATATGTTCAGCCACTAAACAGCTGTACTGATGGGTTGTCTCACGAGCAGTGTACAGAACAGCTGCTGTTCCTGCTCTGTCCCTCCCGTATGCTGGGACCCCTCGGCTGTCACCCCCTCTTACAGTGCAGCGGGATCTCATCCCCCCACGTGATAAGGGGCGCCCAGGGCCCCTGTGGCTGCCATAAATCATCACACCTTGCCACAAGTGCCGTGAACAGATTGTAAAATCAAAATACAGGCATTTCAACTTGGAGCAGGAGACAGAGGTATTACCCAGATGCACATTCCGGTAGTAAAATGAATTTGAAGTCCCCATTGTTTTTTTAAAACCATGTACTCAGTACCAATGGGTATGCCAAGTGGCACAAGCAGGTCTGGAGCCTGCAGCTGCCCCAGCTCCAGTGCGGATGGTGGGTGAATTACTGACCATGGGGTGAGGTAGAAACCACGACACTCAACTCTGGCATGATCACAGCGTGAGCATGCAAAAAGCATCTGAGTATGCCTTGGTGGACAAGAATGGTAACATGAGGCAGAAGCAGTGCCAGCACTGAGCACAGTATTGTCAGGGTGTGATGGGCATCCACATCCCTTTTGCCTCTTACCACCTGATTCTCCAGAAACTTGGCTTTCATTTAACAAGGGAAATGGAGTCCCTAGATCCTCTGTTTAGGAAAGAAATGCTTACGGCTGAGGCTTGAGGCAACTGAATTAGCTTGCAGAAAATCTGTTCCAGTAGCCTCCAGCAACTGCGGATTGCTCCGTTTTTGCCTGGAGCAGTATTAATGCAATGACCTAGTGATCACAGCTGGAACATCTTTTCAACTTACTGCATCAACACATAGGGCTATAGGAGAGATTTTTTCACCAGGAAGATCTTCAAAAACTGCTACTGCTGTCTTCAGCCCCAGTCAGACCCACTTGTGTGGGGAACACACAGTGAAAATGCCCTGTGAAATGAACTTGTAGGGTTAGAGTTGTTAATAATGTATGGGCATATAACATACATTATGTATTTAGCTCAGGCGAGCTGAGGTAAAGTCAAAGGCATGTCAGACAATACACGGGATTGGACTTAAAATACTTGAAACGTGCCTTTGGACCAAAATTCAGCGAGCAAAAAGTGGCAGAGTGTGTCCTGTTTGGGCTGGCACCTCGTCAGGTGCTACACCTGACCCAGAGCAGAAGCCATCTGCAAGAGTCAGTGGTGGCAGCAGCCTCAAATTTATCTCCACAACATTCCTCTCTTTTGGGAGGGAAAGGGGGAATTAACACTCTCCCTGCCAACACCTGGAAAAAAGTCTTTGTGTACTGTAACCACACCAGGTCCCCCAAGGGACGCCTGCACGAACTGGGGGGCCGCAGCAGATTTCGGAGAGGGCATGAGGGTAAGCTTTCCTCTTGGGAAAACATTCCTGCACAATCCACGTGCCTGCAGGGTAAACCCTGCACTGGGGGACGCACAAACTCTCTGAGGAAGCCACGGCCGGCGCAGATGCTGCAGGTTTTACACCGGAGGTTGCTCAGACAAACCTATTCTTGGCTCATCGAAAGACTGCAAGCTGCAGCGTGCAATACAATACTTTGCGGTACTAAAGGACCTTCCGAATGAGGGTCTCGCATTAATTAATTAAGCCTCAGAGCACCTAGAAGGAAAATCTATCCTATTTTACCAGCAAGTGCAATGAGTATGCAAAGGTCACACAGAATAGAGGAGCAAAGGAAAGAGAGATCCTGGTGTCCTGACTCCTGACTCCTTGCTGCATCTATTAGCTCATGAGTCCCCTACAAAGAACACACATGGAAGACAAAAGATGACCCACATCCGTGCCCCGAGGGGCACCCATTGAGAGTTTTAACAAGGTGCAGGAGAATGACTAACTGGGTTACACAGATTGATGCAGGTCAGTAAAGAATATGGCATTAAGAAAATTGATCCTTTCAAAGCCTCCAGCCACATGCTTATGTCAGAACCAGACATGACTTGTGTCTGTGTTTCATACGATACCACCAAGTATCGACCAAAGGGCTTTCCTTCATGTTTAAATAATGAAATGCAATGTAATGCCGACAGGTGCTTTTTTCACAGGGAGAAGGGAGCAGAAGGGAAAGCGTTTGGGTGGGCTGAGGCAGAGCCCAGGTCTTCTTTGCCTCTCCCACCCCTCCCTGCCCTCCCCTGCCCACATGGCTTGCAAGCAAGAGGTCATCGATGGCTGGACATGCCCGTCTGTCTGCAATGCCAAGGAGACAAGCACATGGGCACTGGAAGAGAGAGCAACCTGTATATGATCGGGGTCTGCGTGCTCATCATAGCAGTTACAGTGTCTGTGCAAAAGACGGGAGGCTGACATGGGGAAGAAAAAGAAAAGTGCTTTACAGGTCATCATGGAAGATGGTTGGTACCACTACGAGATCATTTCAGTTTGGATGCTGCCAAATACTTGACAAAATGTCTCGGGGCTTTCCAACCACACTGTTTTGGGTCTCTGAAATATCATGCAATTTCAGTTTGCTTATGTAGGGAATTTTTGTCAACCTGCCAAACTAAAGTAAATATTAAAGGCATCACTGTAGGAAGAGAATATAATGTATAATCAATAGGGGATATTCTGCCAAGCTCAGCTGGCACATAAGGGTTAGCTGTGTAAAGCATCACGTGTGTAAATCCCATCAACAAATGCAATTAATCTTTGTTCTTTGTTTTGCAGTTGGAATAGAGATTGATGGACAAGTCGAAAGTGACGCAGAGAGTGAAGGTAATGTAGAGATTAAAAAATTCCGTCTTCTTTGAAGTACAAGAAGTGATACCTTTTCTCTTTCTCTCCTGCTTGTGACTTGGTCTACAACAGAAACCGTTTCATGAGCTACTTGTAAGAACACAGATTTTTCCCTTGAGGTTTGACTTATAATAGCAATATGTAAACTGCTATTCTTAAGCAGTCTGTCCCCTTTCATCCACGCTCCTAGAGTAGGAGGCTGCCGGAGCCCACATCCCTTGGCAGTCATCCCTAGTAAACCAGGCACTGCAGCAAAGCACAGCTCTGCAGGGCTGGGACTGCTTTGCACCACACCAGGGTCCTGCTTGCCCTCCCTGCAATGCTTGCTTAGACCTTAACACACTGGTATCTTGATTAATCATGGCCATGAGAAGATAAAAATGAAAATGGATTGGAGGCAGACCGATGGTTGTGAGGAAACTCAGGAAGAGCCAGTGACAGGATTAAAAACAGCTTTAAACTTGTATACATAGTAAATAAATAGAAATAGCTAAGTAGTAGGATTATAATACTAAATAAAGAGAGGTAGCTAAGATGTAAGATTGTAACAGCACTGGATAGGTGATCTGAATGTAGACGCTACCGCAAAAACGGTTCACAACCGTGTCTGTACAATCCACAAAATATGAGAAAGTAATTAGCAAATTACTAGGATTATTTTTTTATGAAATCATAGACGCTTTTTCCATAGAGGCAAACAAGGTAATGAGATAAAAGTAACAAATGAATGCTCCACATTTAACCTAATATTTAATAGGTTGCAAATGAAAACTGTGACAGTTGGCTGCCCAAAATGAACATTTTCGCAAAGAGGGTAGGTGGTCCTTTGACCTAGATCACTAACTGAAGTTCAGCTGAGATGGACCATTACGCAGTAACTGAAACCTATCTAATGGATCCTGAGAAATGAGTAGAAAGCTCCTTCTCATTCCCAGGGACAAGGGTGGCAACCATCACCTACTAATTTTTTACCACTAGCAAGCAAAAATTATTTTCTTGTTACTAATTTGTAACTTTTCACCAAAAGAAAAATGCAAATACTCAAATTCTTTTTGCTTCTATTTTCCTTGCCTTTTAGGCTGCTCATTTTTCACTCTGGATCCTGTTCTGACACAATTTCCTTCTTCAATTACAATTTCTCCAACCCTGGGGAAAAGAATCAATGCCAAAATTATAATTTTTTTCATTTCTTTGTTTGAACGCTTTATTTTCACCAGCCAGAGATTTCTGAATCCTTCAAACTGGAAGCATTTCTGACTCCTTGACAAAATAGGCTTTTAGCTTGCAATGCCAGTAAGAACGAAATGTGCATCAAAGACTATCTGGGGTTTTTCTTTTCTGGATATAGACCTTCCTATATAAAATAAAACTCAGAGAAATAAAACCGCATGCTGCCTAAGCTGCACCTTTTCTCTCTATAAACACAAGACCTCCATTCCCAGCCATGAAAAATAAACATCTTTCAAGGACAATGCACCAACAAGTAAACTACATACTCGATTTCTGTTTCCATTGCTGTGGTGTGTTTACAGGTCGCGAAGATACCTGTCTGTGCTCTCTGGTGAATGGGCTTTTGCATCTGTAACTAATTTCAAATTTTCTTATGGTCAAATGTAAGTCACTGATGTGCTAAAACAAGCTGTACTATCCTAAGTGGGAGTTGTGTAACTGAAGAGTTGGATGTGGTTATTGGACGGGGCATAACGCAAAGCCCGTCGAGGTCAACGGGCATCTGCTCATTGGCTTTGCTAGGGTTTGCATCAGGCATCCTGGCTGCCTGCACTTTTCTGACGAATCCTTATTTTGCCAGCATGGATTTCCCAAAGTACTTGTTTTTTATCCCTTGCAGAAGAAGTAAAGGACAAGACACCCAAGAAACATCCCCGCAGGAAAACTGGCAGAGCAAGCAGACTTGAAAGGAGAAAGCAAGAGAAAGACAAAGAAGATGATGAGAGCAAAGAGGAAGACGGTTGTAGCCAACAAAAAAGAGCTTCCAGGAGAAAAAACTACCAAATTAAAAACAGCGATGGAAAAAAGGCAGGGGAGGAAGGAAGGCGACAGAGAGAGAGAGGCAAAAAGCCTCCTACCAAAGATCAAAAGGAGTCAGAAAACACAGAAAAGAAAACAAACAAGAAAGGAAAGGAGGGGGAGAACAAACAGCAGACAGACAGGAAAAACAGGTAATTAAACAATCCCCAAGTATGGTGACTTGTGTCAGACTGGCAGAGGTAGAGACATGCCAGCAGCGCGTGGGTCAGAACTGCAAAACCAGTAGACTGTGAATAAGTTACTGCTCTCGCCAAAGAGGTAAAGCAGTGGAAAACAGTAGTGTAAAATTCCACGCAGCCAAACCGTGTGGTCTCGTGTCCAAGGTTTTCTGTCATTCTTGTTTCTCAGCCAGGATCAGATCCACGCGTGTGGTGGAGTCCTAGATCCTACAGCTGGGGATAGAAAAGCTCTCTTAAACTAGACAGCTTGAGCAACTCAGACCTGGGCACATTTTTTGGTTAGTCTATGGAAATGTTCAGGTTAAAATGGGTTTTTTTGTGTGTTGTCAAGTCTGTTCCAAATCTTGCTTGTCCTCTCTGCTTCTCCCTATATCTTCCAACTTCCTTCTGAAATGGAAAGAATGCTCTTTTTGGTGTGAAAAATGTTTCTCCAGAGCCAGCTGTAGCCCTAGGCAATGCTTCTGTAGTGGAGGCGTGCTCCAGAGCACAATGCTGGGCAAGTTACGGGGCGGGGTGGGGGGTGAGATGGCTTCTTCTTTGCCCTGGCTGGAAGCAGCCTTGCCCTGGGCACGAAGGGGCCGTGCTGGCGTCCCACCGGGCCGGGGGACGGAGAGGCACTGTGCCCACATCACAGCAGGGTCCCTGGGGGCCAGCAGCACCGTGCCCACCCCAAGCAACACCTTCCCCCTCTAGCTCCTGCCAGCTTTTCCTATTTCATGCCCTTTATTTTGTGTCTCTCCCAGTACTTCCTCTTCTGCCAACTCATCCGACGAGGAGTCGCTGTCAGAGGAAGAGCTCGCAATGCTGATGGAGCAGGTGGAGCAAAAGAAAAAACTGATTTCCACCATGAGGAACAAGCCCTGGAGGATGGTGAAGAAGCTCTCGGTGCTCAGGTACCTGCCACACCAAGAACCCACACCCCTGGGGTCTTTGCTGACTGTCAGATGCACTTTGCCTCTCTTAGAAATTGCATATTTGCTGCTGCTACTGTACCACCCCAGTCTCAGAAAAAGTGACCGGCAGAGCCTGGCCAGCCTGTCTGGGTTTAAATGATGAGAGTTAAAATGTGGAATTTGATTTTCAGCCTCTGTAACCAAAGAATGGACAAGGTGCAAATCTGTTCAACTGATACCCACGGCCAGGTCATTCTACCCTTGTATTTAAAACCAAATGACTCACTGCTGTCAGGCTACTTGCTAAAGCAAACTCAGTGCCTTGGTTTTCTTATTCATGCCCATTGTCAGACAGAAATCAGAGCAGCAAAGTGCCATGTTACTTCACACTTCTGAGATGAGCCTGCATGGAAAAAAATACTGTATTATTTGCAGAGCTTATGGAGCAAAGATAATATTGCCACCCTGCCCACGCTGAATGTGGGAACAACTCAGGCAGCTGCAGAGACCCCTTAGTGCAGGGCAATGGGGGGCAGTGGGGCAGGACAGACCAGGGAAATCAAAACCTGCAGGTTGACAGGGAACATCTCATAACAAACCATTCCCATGCCAGGGTAATGATTCAAATCCCAGCTCTATTAGCTAAAAATCCTCTGAAACACCTTTCTACCAAGAGAGCTTTCCAAATAGCATTGCAAGGAATGTGCAGCCCCACGGGGAGTGGTGATGCCCCCACTCCATGTTCACCAAGAGGCTGCTCAGAGCTGCTGTCTGGGCTGTGAAGGCTGCGGTCACCGTGCATCTCTGTTTCTCTCTTTTACACCCTGTAGGCCAAGACCTGCTCCATCTCCCATTAAAATGAGGAGCCTTGAACACTGCCAATTATTTCTAAAAGTCTGAGTAAAGATCTATACAGGGAAACTGTATTAAAGCAGCTTTTCTATCTCACAGGCATGCTACGAGCCTGAGCTCATTACAAATAAAATCTTATGACCCTAAAAGTCCAAAGTTCTGCAAGAAAAGAAAAAAAAAAAAAAAAAAAAAAAAGCAAAGCAGTATTATTTCTGACATATTTTCCCTCTGGTGTAGAATCCTGGATAAAATTCTGACTAGGATCATGTTTGATAATGCACCTCCATACTTTCATATTATCCCTGAACCATGGCTATCATTACCACCTGTTAATGAATGTAAACAAAATTGTTGCTTTTTTGTGCAGGGGTCTCCAGAAAGGCTCTCAGAGTGCTGAACATACATTAGTTATTTCAGCTAGAGAAACTCAACCCTGAGACAAGAAATTATTAGCCTCATTGCACAGATAAGGAATGTGAAATACAAAGAGAGTGAAACAATATGTTCAAGACATAGAAATCTCACTTTAGATTTGCAAATAAAGTCACAGGTGATTTTCCCAAGGTTCTGAGCTGAACTAGCCAACTATTTCCACCGAGAAGTCTGTCTTTCCCGTAGGATTAGGATTGCAAAAGACCTCCCAACTCCTAAAATTCAATCTCTTCTCATGATGTATTAGCAGCACCAATATATGATATAATTTTATTCACAAACTCAGCATATTCTAACAGCACCTACCTAGGTTCATTTCTCTGTATTTCCCTTAGAAATCTTATTCTAAAACTAATTTCAGTTTGCAGCTTGATTTTATTCTTGACTAGCGTACACTCATTTCTCCAGTGCTGCGACTACACTGTTGAGTCAATTGCACATCTTTGATATTTATCCAGTCAGGGAAATTTTGCATCCTCTTGCTTGGAGTTTGTTTCACTAGACAATGTTATTTTCTTCTTGGCCAATGCATTGGAAGAGAGAAGTTGTAGCAGGCATGCTGGGGTGGGACATCTCTGCAGTGAAAGGAACAGGCGGGCTTATGATCTACACCCAGGGAGAATTGTGGAACAATTTGGGACACATCTCTGCATGAACACGAGTGCTTTGGGGACCTGTTAGCTAGCTGTGGGTGGGCATGTGAAGTCTAGATGGCACAGCAACACCACCAGCAGATAGCAGGAGAACCCCAGAGACAGTGCAGGGTGTGGAGAGAGACCAAACCCCCACCTTCGCACGAGCACAGCTGCTTTCCCACCGGTGCAGGCAGAGGAGAAAAGCTAAAGACCCCTTTGCTGTTTCAATAACCTGCTTGTTTATCTTCCAACTAGGGAGGCCCAAGCTTTTGTAGAGAAGTTTGAAGGAGCTCTGGGAAAAGGGAAGGGCAAAAAGTTGTATGCGTATAAGATGATGATGGCAAAGGTAAGTGCTCCAATGATGTCAGGAAAAAGCTTGGATACGTGGTTATGTATTCAGCACACTTTTATTAACCTGTATTTGGCAAAAGAGATGCCAGGAAATCAGAATAAAACTTCCTGCCCGCATTCGAAAAAATACTAGCCAGCTTCAAAACTATGACTATTACAGAAAGAACAGGGGGAAATTTCCCCCCACCTGAATCTCAGTGTAACCTTCCCTGAAACAAGGGAGGGTTTGCAGGAGCAGGGAAAACCACAGCTTTCTGGCTGCAATCTCCAAAACCTTGATCTGTGAGACAAGGTACCCCTAAAGGGGAGAGAGGCCGTGCCAAACTCTTGCGCTGCCCCATGGACTCCTCTAAAATTTCATCTTCCCTGGTAATGAGGAGATAACAGGGAGAAGGATGACTGTGTTTTAAGACTGAAGTTAGTAGCCAAGTTGCATGTTGTCATGGAGATTATATTGAGAAGTGTAAAACGGAGTCAGGCCTGAGATGATGAAATCAATGGGAATTTACACACTGGTCTGATGAGGAAGGATTCAAGCTCAGTATTTTATCAAACTGAATTTTGTTTTACATAGAGTTGGTTCTGCATCAATTCTTTCAATCCAGATCTAGGTCTGAATTTTCCACCCCTATATGATATGGTAAACTCATAGCAGAGCTGCAGCTTTCCAAAAGCCTGGGAAGGTTAAAACTCAGATAATTAATGTTAACGCTTGGGGGTGGGGGGCTTTGGGATTGAAGGTAGCATCTGAAATAGTCCAAAAGATCAGACCCAGACCAGAGGTTCTGGTTTGGGCTTTATACCCGCTCCTAGCAATGCTACCAAACCCTGACATTGGAACGTCCAGCAGATGAAGCAACTTCCCTCTTTGCACCTCTCTGCTCACTGCAATGTTGTCTTGTTTCAGAAATGGGTGAAATTTAAGAGAGACTTTGACAATTTTAAAACCCAGTGCATACCCTGGGAGATGAAGATAAAAGAAGTGGAGAGTAAGTGGAAGTTGCTGTGTGGTGGCAGTGAGACATTTTATAAGACAGCTTTGCCTTCACCCAAACAACGCTCCAGCTCCCTGGTCCCCAGTCTCCGCTCGCCCTGGGCACTGATGCCAAACGAGGAGCAGACACTCCCAGCAGATCCGGGCTTTGCTGTTTCCATCAGTACTGGGGACTGTCGGGAGGGCCTTGGGCAACGCGCTGGGGAGACATGAGGGTAAAGGGGTCCAGGTCTCGCTGAGGACAGTTTAACCCTCCTAAATTCCTAATCATGAAGTGTCTTCTGGTTTAAGGTCACTTTGGCTCTTCAGTCGCTTCCTACTTCATATTTCTGCGGTGGATGTATGGAGTAAATCTTGTCCTTTTTGGGTTAATATTTGGACTGGTTATAATTCCAGAGGTAAGTGCTTAATTTTGCTTTCAGTAATACTTTGCCTGTTGCTTAACATGAATGAGATTGATAGCACAAACAAGTGTCTCACAACAGGCAGTGCTTTAGAAAAATTAAATGTATAAGCATGATTATTTACAAAGAACAACTTACAAGGTTACTGACACAAGAGCAAAAGTCAGATTGAAATCAGGAGACCTAAAATGCTATCAAAGATCCTGCCCATCCAGCAGCTAAAATGGGATCTCAAAACTCTAATTTAAGGCTAAGTTTTACATTTTAACTAAAGTGAAAAACATGACCTCTGACTCCTAGCTACAGGCTCAGGTCCGTAAGAGCCATAAGAAATGGACTGTGCTCTGAAAGTGATTAAGAAACCCCACCTGGGCCCTCCAAGGAGCACAGGCCTGAGGTGGCAGCCAGGGCACAGCCCTGCAGGAGGAGCCCTCCAGGGATGGAACAATTTCCCAGCACTTTGGCAGCTGATATTTGTTTGGGAAATATCCCTTTTCTGTACATCTAATTCAGATGATTCACAAGGAAGAGTTTTATTTTTAGTTTTTCTATTTCTCACTGTTCTTGGATAAGGAAAAGGATCTCATGGCCAACTTTATATGATTGTTTATTGAAGAATTTTTTAATGTAGCCATTACAACTCTGGCTAAATTACTCAGTGCGGTCTTTAAAGGCTGTGCAATCCACAGACAGTGGCATCTGTTCCGTTCAATTCAGATTTTTATGGAGCAAAAATGCAGCACAGAGTCTCTCCCGAGGACCGTGCTTTTGTTCTCCTTAATGTGGTTGCTCACACTATCGAAAGTAAAAGCTGTTTCCTCCCAGGATGAAGACGCATAACCATTAGCACTGAACAGTACAAATGTATTTTGTTAGGAGCTATGCATATGGCAGAAGACTAAATAGCTTTCATCTTTAAAGTATTCACACTGTTACTCATTGCCTACTGAGCTGTTACGATATGGAGAGTAGCTGGGCAATAAACATTTAATCATAAACGATTTTGAAATTAGTTAGCCCTAAAAAATAAGTGATAGATTATATGCTAGGACCCTTCTAGGCTATAAATGCTAATGAGATATTTTGGTATAGGCACCAGTTAGAGTCTGCCTGTAAATACATTATTAACTCTCCAAAGCCCTTGACGTTCTCTGTCTGGACTTCAATAGCTGCTGGACTTGCTGCAAGACCTGCTTTGCATGGTGCAATCAGGAGAGTCTGTGCCATGAAAACTGTTCTTTGCACAATTTTGTCATACACTTTTTGCTCAAACCTAACTGCCCTTCACCTCACCTTGAGATAATTTTTCAATTCAAGACTATATAGTACAAAATACACTGCAAGCTTGACCCCATGCTCTTGACTTCTCTCAAAGGAGGAGTCCTGCATAAATAGATAAAGTTAATCCCTTTATTGCTTTAGACCCATGAAGTTCAAGCAAAGACCTTCTTGCTAAACTAAAGATATTTAATCTGGAGCTGTTCATTGAGGGGTACTGTTCCTTGGCAAAATACTTCCTGTGCAATGGATGTTACTAGGGATAGGGAAATTGGGGGGGTGAAATTATTTCTAAATATTTTAAGCCACTGCTATGGTATTAAGAAATAAAATATATATTAAAATCATCAAAAATAAAAAAAACAACCAAAAGGGACTAGTTAAGAAAAAAAAAAATGCACAGTGTATTATACCATACATGCATCACTGTTATTAATGTTTATCAGATCCTGATGGGAATGCCATATGGAAGCATGCCAAGGAAAACTGTACCGCGGGCTGAACAAGCAACAGCTATGGATTTTTCAGTTCTTTGGGATTTTGAGGTAAGCACAGGACTGTTAATCATAAGAGATCAGTTGAATACTTTCTAAACACCTTCAGAAGTTAGCAGCACTACAGTGATGAATTTGTTCCAAGATGAAACAGCAATGAACCTATTTCTTCCAGAAGATGAAGACACCTGCTGCCATGAAATCTCTGTGGATCGCCAGAGATTTCTAGCCAAAGCAGCATGTGCACGTGCAAGCACCTGCATGTAGATTTGAACCACTTTGATGTATAAATACTCTAGCTTGCATATCTCACGTGTGTTTGTGTGTGTATACACGCAGACGTATATTTCTCGAGTTTGCAGGAATAAAGCAGATGTACTTTTATTCCAAAGTGGACATATCACAGCCCAACACAGACGACTAGCACCACCCAAAACGTGTCTGTCTGGGGTCAATGAGCTGCAACAGGACAAAGTAAAATCCACTAAGGCCAGTGAAGTTACATGGTTCCCAACTGAAGGAAGCTAAAGCAGATATAGTAATCCCATGTCCTTTTATCTACACAGTATTTTTATTCATGAAGCACAAAAAGCCAAAGTTAGGTTTTTCTATGAGCACTAATGGAAGCAGGTGACTATGTAAACTGCCCAGTGATGAGCTTGGTGCAACTCACCTAAACCACGTTCACAGAATTGCCTCGCGAACTCAGGCAAAAATAAATTATCCTTTTTCAAAAGAAAAAACACCCAATAAATAAATTTATGCCGTATTTTAAATCTACACAGAACAGACTATAGAAATCTGTATTATCAATCTCACATTATGAATGCAGAATTTTATTCTGACAAAATAAAAAAATTTTGTGTGCACAAGAGCTGTTTTACTTCCAACTAGAAAGGCAGCCAGAAAGTGAATTGGAGCTGCGGGCCCCCCTTCGCGGGAGGGAGCACCTTGCCATACCCTCTGACCTTGCTCGCAGCCTTGGGAAGGGGGTCGCCCCCACATCCCTGCCATCCCTGCTCCCCTGAAATATTTGTATGACCCTGAAGCTGGAACCAAAGTTTAGGACTTGCACCTAAAGGGAAAATTCAAGTTTCCAGCTGACTTGGCTGCAACCCCAACTTACACATCCCCTCCCTCTCCCCCCGCCTCCAGTTACTCTTTGTCTTTGAAGATTTAGGCCAAAGGGATTAAGTGTTTTTAGGGGATGGCCCAAAAAAGAAAAAGATGTGTGCAGGGGATGAAGAGATTCTGCTGTGTCAAATACCTTGGGATCTGACTTTCAAAGCTGCTACTTCTGGATATATTTTTTTAATGTTTGTTGGCACTGGCCCACATATTAGAAGCGTAGGACCCAGTCCTTCTGTAATAAACTCCATCACAATTTCCTTAGCTAAAAAAACCCCAAACAATTACTTTAATGTAAACCAGATTATTTAAATGAATTTATTAATAAGGCTTCAACTACTGGTGTGTCCAGGAACCTGACAAGGCCAGATCTTTGTTCACCACCCGTTTGCTGAGGATCCTTGTAGCTCTTGCTCTCCCAGCACGTTCACCCACTTTCCAGAATCAAAAATTCAGAGGTAAATTGGCGACATTTTGAATAACATTGCACTGAGTGAAAAGCTTATTTGAGCAGCACACTGTAAAGATACAAGAAGCTGCATTTAAACTCATTCATACAGAAAAAAATCAAAAAGCCCAAACAGGAGTGTTGCTGAACTACAGCTGCTGGTTTTCTCTGGGAGACCATGAACTATACAGATATCAGTGAGGGCATTTGCTCTTGGATGAGGCTGTACCATTGCCTGAAAGGCTGGCTACCATGACCTACCCGTCTTCTGCCCCTGGCTTGGTACATACATCTACATTCCCCTGCTATCACCAAAGGCTTGATACTCTGAACCCCTCTGCAGTAAAGGTCCCCATCCCATACTCACTTCCTTGCTGCTTGACACCGGGGAGCAATCACGCAAGCTTGAGAGGCAATCTCCAACTACGGGGCAACAACGGACACCTACACCCACTACAGCCCGGAGATGTCAAATTAAGCCCTTCACAGAGGCTTGCCCTTCAAAAATTAATAGATGCTTATTCCAGAATTCTCCACAGGAGAGGTGCAACAGGGAAACATATTTCAGAGCAGGCATAAAATGAAGAGTCAATACTGTGATCCTGGAAAATACGTTTCAAGAGAGAGGAGCTGGGGAAATGTGTGGTTTGGCAGCAAGGAGGTCACATCATGGATTTCTAGAGGAGCAGAAAGGAATAAATCTCACTTGGACACCAGACACCATGTCTCACAAATGGAGTTTAAAGAACATGCTGGATGATGTGAGCAGAGAAACTCGTTTTTCAGTCCCGACCATTTGATGAATCAAAAAGACAAAGGTTTGGGATTACAACCTGAGAAAAAAACTTCACTAGCGCCTTCCGGGAACATTATGTTTTACGAAGCTGTTTTCACTCCACCACCCCAGCACACGTTATACATACCACAGTATGAGCCCCAGGCAGCCGTGCTGTGGTGTGTCAGCCACGGGCTTGCTGCGTTTCCCCGAGTGGCTCAGCAGCACTGGCAGAAACACATGCAGAGCTGTCCTGTACCTGCAGCCCTGTGCTTTGTGCAAGGCAAACAAACAGCTAATATGGCACCCAGGGATACCAAAGCCTTATCTTAGGCACGAAAATCCTAGTGCTTTGGGGGAGCTTAGTCCAACTGATTAAATGAAGGTGGTTAAACACTGGAAGAGGGGCCCAGGAAGGTTGTGGCACATCCATCCTTGGAGATTTTCAAAACTCACCTGGAACTGGCCCTGTGCCACAGCACTTAATTTTGAAATTTGCTCTGCTTTGATCAGGGGGCTTGTCTAGATGACCTCAAGAGGTCCCTTCCCATGTAAATTATTCAGCGTCTCTAAACAAGACCCATTACACAGTCTCTGATAGGAACTTTAAGTGATGTCTCGATTTTGGTCTTTCCAAAGGTTTGATCAGAGGGGAGCGCCTGCTCAACAATCATGGCCAGACTGATTAACTACACTTAATTTATGAGCTGAAAGACAACAGGCAAAAAATAGAGAAGTGCAATATGCAATGATACACATCAACTTGGATGAGATATGACAGAAAAATAGAGAGAGATTGCTAATGCAGATGAGATCTGCACACTTGTTTAATGCCCAACAGCTTGTACAGCAAAAAATAGATCTACTTGAGACACCATGGTTGATATTGTGTCTGAGCTCTGTTTTCCACAGGAAAGTAACGCTCTGATTTTAGTCTTTAGTTAGATTTGCTCTGCAGGTGGTAGTCAGTAAAAGGAACTAAATCTGCAGGGTACCAAGCATCAGCTGCCTCCTAGCTGAAAGGAAAAGTTTCATGTCATGGTGGGAAACCCCTTTGCTACAGCATTTCTACAAGATCTGAGTCTTTGATACTGGCTTAGAGAAGCAGGTGGGCTACAGTCACAAAGCTCAATAAGAAGGTTTTGCTGGGAGGGATGAAACAGAGATGGATAAAAACTACATTTTAGTTTTGAGCCAGTTTTCTCTGACATGTTCTCCCTCTTCTCCCTCCTCTTAGTAGGATAAGCTCTCAGGAGGATGGCTCTCAAAGGTGACAGGGCAGCAAACAGCTGAGAATGAGACACTAAAAATATTTCTAAGTTGATTTTCCATGTTTTAAATCTTCGGTTTTCACCAGAAACTTCTTTCCTGCAGAAGAAAAGCTTCACAGCTTACACAAAGGTTTGCTTTTGCTTTTCCTCCAGGGCTACATCAAATACTCAGCCCTCTTTTATGGCTACTACAACAACCAGCGGACAATTGGTTGGTTAAAATACAGACTACCGATGGCATATTTCACAGTTGGGATCAGCGTGTTCGGCTACAGCCTGATGGTTGTTATAAGATCGTAAGTATGGCTGGTGTTGCCCTCTCTGCAAACTCTGACCAGATGTGTCCCACATCTGGGTTCCCCTCCATGGGCACGGCTCACAGCTCGGTCCAGCCTTGGCCGGACAGCCGGGGCAGTGTGGGGTGGAGGGGGCTGCGTGCCTGCTGCCTTCATGCCCCCAGCCTCATCACCCACCACCCCTGGCTCTGGGGGTACCTGGCCAGTCCCCTGCCTCAGCCATGTGCTCACACACATTAGGTTGAACCTTCCCAACCTCCTTCTCCAACCCTCTTCATCCTCCTCCTCCGTGGGTCACTTTCACCCTTCCCTCCGGCATTACTACAGGGCTGTCAAAGCGGTGGATTTTGTGCACGAAGGAGGATTTTACTTACAGTAAATTTCAAAGGCTCCTTTTCCCATCCTTTCATGGCAAAACCCCATTCCTGAAAGCTAACGTGTCACAGATGGTTCGAGGGGTACAGAAAACAACCAGAAGTTACCAGACTGGTTTTCATGCATTCCCAAACCAATCAGTAGAGCTTTAGAGCAGAGCCCCAATCTCTGTGCCCCTGGTACACTGTCCCCAAACACTGGTGAGGGCCCTGCAGCACCCACAGGGCACCGAGGATGCAGCTGAGGCACTTCTCGCTGCTGAGACAGTCTCTGCAAAGCCAAAAATGAAAAAACAGAACTGGCTGTCTCTGCCTGGAGGGCACACCTTACAAAGGTTTTCCTTCATTTGCAAGAAAGAATAAGCCCATGGATTTGTATCGCTGCTGAAACAGGCCCCATTGCTGTGCAGCAGAAAGAGCCTCTTGAGCCTTTGTCTGGAGTGGGACATGGGGATTTGCTGTACATTTGCCATGAAATTGCAGCATCTGTTGTCTCGCCTTCCTTGAGGGACTGGTGCTAGGAGCTCTAATGGGAGTTACAGAAGGATTTCAGGGATCAAATAATAGAGAGGAAACAGCAGAAGCCATATCTGCTCCTATGCCGATTAACAAGAATAATCCTTTTTCTCTCCCTGAATGACTTGCAGCAAGCTCTTTGGCTCCAGCACTGTGCAGCTACTGAAGTCTCAACTAAAACTTTGTGTTGCAGTGGGTGTATTGGACAGCACCAGTGCTTTTTGACTAAATTTAACTAAAAGTAGTCATAACCATATACTGTACCCTAGGACCCAGAAGCACTGTAAATGGACTTTATTCATTCACTGTTGGAAGCAGTCCTTAACTTGCTTTAATCACCTATGCTAGGTTTATTTTTCTACATTACTGTTTTGATAAAATACCTGCATAGCCCTGAAGACCCCGTTTGACAGTTCAGCCCTCCTTAAACCTGAAGCCCACCAGCATGTGTCAGACAGCTGCACCCAAACCCCAAGAAATGTCACCCTGCTCCTTCCCTCGCCACCAGCAGTCCTGAGCCACCAGCCCTGCTTTACAAAGCTGAAGGACACGGGGTGGCTCTTCAAAACACTGTCTGACCCCACCACTGCACATGTCCTTACACAGGATGGCACGCAATGCCAATGAAAGTACAACAGACGGGGACGATGACAACTTCATTTTCAGCTGGAAGATGTTCACCAGCTGGGACTACCTCATTGGCAACCCAGAGACAGCGGACAACAAGTTTGCATCCATCACCACCAGCTTCAAGGTAACCCTAACCAGCATTTCTCTGTCTGTTTCTGGGGATGCTCCCAGGCCCTACACCATGGCAGAGGTTTAAGGGCAAATCTGGGTACCTGTACAGCATCTCTCTGTACAAACAGTGTACGGCACTGAACCATGGCAGCTCCAGCTCCCGTGCCCTGGGTCACCCCAACCCCCTTTTTAGGATTTGAAAAAAATTTTTTCTTACTTCAGTGTTCAGTTCCTCCCATCACATTCCCCTGGGACATGGCAGGCTGTTTGCCCCTTGATGTCTTTCAGTCAAACTGGGATGCCTGTACGAAGCTTAGATTGAATTTAACACAAACTACCAAGTTCATTATAGCCAGAATAGCATGCGGTTGTATTTCACAGGGTAGAAAACCATCTGATGTTGCCTTAGGCTCGGTGCTGCAAGATACTCATTCCAATTCTGTGATCTCCCCTGTTTTTTCAGGAGTCTATCGTGGACGAGCAAGAAAGCAACAAGGATGAGAACATCCATCTGAGGAGGTTCCTGCGGGTTTTGGCCAACGTCCTCATCATATGCTGCTTGTGTGGGAGTGGCTACCTTATTTATTTCGTGGTGAAACGCTCCCAGACGTTTTCCAAAATGCAAAATGTGGGGTGGTATGAAAGAAATGAGGTAAGGAAGCTTTGCTTCCAGTTTTCTGCTGTGAAAATTTGCCTTGGACATCAGCATAACCATTGCCACAGTTTGAGGACAGTATCCAAGGTAGAGGGAGGGATTTATCAGGGCCCAGAAGTCCCCTTTGGTAGTTTTGTACCTGATTTAGCCACACTGGTCTCACTGAGAGTTTCCAGGGCAAATTAGCAACTCCTGCAGAGAGGGGAAAATACTCTTACAATAAATCACAATAAAGTCAAAGGTTCTAACAAACGCTTACAAATTATGTTGTAATAGGAAGCTCTCTGGGTGTTAGAAACATAAAGCGAAACTCGGATCTTTAGCATCCATCTTGAATTATGGGAATAAGATTTTACAACCTGCAGAAAAATCTAAATTGTCAAAATTTTTCTGTCTGATTTTGGAATGAGAAGTTCAAATCTTGAAGCTCTTCACACACACACACAGAAAATCTTTCAAACTATTAAAAGGTTTAATTTTAATCTATACTACATTATCATGTATATATCAAAGCCAAATTACATTCAAAGTCATGCATTTTTGTAATTCCCTCAGAAAACATTAGTGAGACAGCACTTTCTCACAAAATGCTTTAATTTATTTCTGTGAACTTTTCCCAAAGAAATAACTCTTATTTAAAAAAAAAAAAAAAAAAAAAAAAGAATGTTTACTACCTGAAACTTTCTTGGTGACAACTTGAGATCTGCATATATACAGTTCTGGGTATTGTTCCTTCTCCTGGAAAGAAAAGCCCAAAAAAACAGACCTGTGAGTCAGAGTCTGCCAGCAGCTGTACAGGCACAGCCCTCTGCAGGCCAACAGGCACTGTAGGGCTGTAAAAAAGACAGAGCCTGCAAGTTATGCCTGAACTAACTCTGACTTGCCAACGACCTCATTGACCACAGTACAACTTAACATCCTGCACCACAGAGAGGAACAAAAATACCACTAGAACATATTTTCTTGAGCTGCAAAACTGAGTCCTTGATATGCTTCCATTCAAATGTGTAATTGCCTATTGCAAAAGCAAAGGTGCTGAACATGGAAAATAAACATTAGCATCAACTAATTATCTTTATGCACACAAGCCAAGTCTTGCACTTCCTCTGAAACTAAAATAAGAACCTCAGAGCTGATGCAAGCAGTACTATGAGGGACTTGGGGAACCTAAATATTCATGAGTCTGGACTGACAGGGAACAAATTCTTCAGAGCTCATCCTTTTGAGATAACAGCAAAAGTGCTCCTGTAAGAGCAAGCCATGCAACCCAGCCCTGAAGTCAGACACTCTGATGCCTGAACATTAAGCACAGCCAGAAGCTGAGCTCGCTTTGGCTCCCTCCTCTTTATAAATCCTTCAGAAATCTCCAACCAGTTGCTGGCAGTCCCCTCACTGCTCAAAGTAAGATAGTCACTGTTGTTACTATTAGTGGTAATCTTGTTTTCTTCATGTGGCAGGTTGAAATTGTGATGTCCTTGCTGGGCATGTTTTGCCCTCCGCTGTTTGAAACCATTGCTGCACTAGAAAATTACCATCCCCGCATCGGGCTGAAATGGCAGCTGGGGCGGATCTTCGCGCTCTTCCTTGGGAACCTCTACACGTTTTTGTTGGCCTTGATGGACGATGTCAACGAAAAAGTAAGAGCTGAGCCAAGAAGCCACATTCACTATCGTTTTCCAAGGCCAAGGGTGAGCACAGCCCATCCCTGCAGCCATTAGGGATGATCACCCCCTTTGCAGCAGGCACGTCCCCCATCCCCAATCCTCTCAAGCATCGGCTGCAGCACCCCAGGGAGACTCACTAACCAGAAGGGTTTCCAGAGAGTCTCCAACTTCTCTTTACAGCCCTGAAAAGAGTTGTTGTTGTCTCCTATAACCATAGTGTGTTAGGGTAATTTGATTTTTTTTTCTCCGTCTCACACTGTTTACAATTTCTATTAATGCAGACCCCAAGGATATAGTTTATAATCCTCTTCCCCTGCTCTCCGCTTTTTAACATTATCCTGGTAGTGTGTTGCAGGCAGATAACTACAGGAAAGGATAAACGTCTAACTGATCTGCAGAAAAAATGGCTGTTGTAAGCTGAGAAGCACTGGAGGAATAGGAGAGGTTTGCTTTGCCCTGAAAAATTATGAAGGAAGGACTGGGTGAGCACTCCCCCTCTGCACACAGGAGGAGGTCTGGCTCCTTCATGTGTGGGGAGCAGGTTGCTAGCTCCCCAAAATTCACAGTACCCCTAATTAGCTTTCTGTTTGGAAGGGCTGCTGCTCCCCTGCTCCTGGTAAAAGGAAACAAGCGTTTGTGCTATTGCCAGCACTGCAACTCTGTTGTAAGCAGATGCTTTATATGATGGGTGGTAACTGGTAGGGAGGAAAGGGGAATGCAACATCTTGGGCCTCTCCAAACATGTCCTCCCCTATTTCCTGATGGTTTTGGCTGGGTGGGGGTGTGTGTGTCTCTCTTGCAGCTGGCTGAAGAGGACGTGGTGAAGAACATCACGCACTGGACATTGCTTAGCCACCACAACTCATCCATGGGGAATGGCAGCACTGCCACTCCACCTCCCATTGATCCTGCAGACGTGCCCAGGGGACCCTGCTGGGAGACAACTGTTGGCATTGTAAGAAATTTGTTTTGTAGTACATCTCTGGGCTGGTTTGGGGGTAGGGGGGTGTGTTTGTTGTTGTTTTCTTCAGCTTTTCCAGGCTTGAAGTTTTCCTCACAAAAAACATCTCCTCTCCTGACCCTAACATAGCAGCACCATGACAGTATAAGTCCTTGGCCATGGTTCTCAAGCCAGGGTGGTGAAATCCCCAGCTGGAAGTGCCCAAGGCACACAGAGCTCTGCAGCACTTGCTTGGAAGAGCACAAAAGGCCGGGTAGTCTGCATCCATGCCTGCATCATGTTTTCATTCAGACCACAACTGTGCCTTTGAAGCAAACCTGTCTTATCTACTTATCACTGCACTTCAGCTCACACTGTAGAATGGCTTAGGAGCACGAGTGAAACCCAACCAGAAGACATGCCTCAAGGGAACTCCTAACAGATCCCAACTCTAACACATAGTGAAACCATGGGACAAGAGTGAAATTAGGCAAAATAAACCCCCCTGAAAAACATGTGGGGTAGCCTTCAAGTCCTCAAAGCTTCACCCCACAAACCCACCCTGCAACCTTCACCTTGCACCAAGAAGTTCTGCAGCCAGACTATGCACACTTTAAAAAGCCATTATTTATTGACTGATATAGGTAGCTAGGGTTTTCCAAGCTACAAGGCTATGTGTTACTGTGTAGACCCACTGGGTCTTCACTAGCCAAGTGGTTTTCAGTTAAGTGGGGAAAGACCAGCCACTGTCGCTCCTTGGAAGGGCTGATCCTCAGTGCAGCTAAGCTGTCATCCTACAGATGCTTGTTTTTTTCCCTTCACACTTTTACTTTTTCTTGTAAGGTTTTTTTAACTTCTGAATCTTTGCAACACCAGCTATCTCCATCCACAACTCTTACATCTGCCTGAAATTTTACCTTTCTTGTGTTGCACATCTCCCCTTCTCTACACTTCCTCGCAGCTCTTGTTTACAACTCAGCAATTTCCTCAGGAGTCCACGTGAAGGTTATGGAGCTGAGCCATAGCAGAGCTACGCACAATCAAAATTGCCCTCAGTATATGCATGCTTTACACCAGCATTATTGCAGCATTAACATTCTGCATCTGCTTTATGTGCTGCCACAATATACAGTGCAGTCAGTAACACTAGCAGCAGCTATCACGGCTAACGGCTGTAACGGAGCTCGTGGTTCCCAAGCACAGAGGTAAAGCTTAGGCACTGCTGAGTGTTTGAAAGCAGGCAGTGAGTTTGCTCATGGAACGCTTTTCTGAAGGTTACTGTCATATAAAGACAAATGGCTTAATAAAAAAAATACAGTCCTGAACGCGCTACTGAAGTTACAGGACCTAAATGTTTTTCCCTTGTTTTAAATTGCAGGAGATTGTAAGGCTCACCGTGTCTGACATCCTGGTGACCTACATAACCATCCTGGTGGGAGATTTCGTCCGAGCTTGCTTCGTCAGATTTATGAATTACTGTTGGTGCTGGGACCTGGAGGCTGGATTTGTAAGTCAGCATCTTATAGCTGAGATGATAGAAGTAATTTAGGGCCATTTGGTCAAATGCTACAAACAGATTGGTTTTAAATGCTTCCAGTGGTCCTCCAGTCTCATCTGATAATTTAACTGGTGTAGGTAGTCTCTGCATCACTTCTCTGGATCAATCAGTTCAGAAAGAACCCTATAAAAATGGAGTTTTCTCCACCACCTCAGGACTTTAAAACATGAAGTTGTGTTAAAAAAAATTAAATCTGATGTTCATTCAGTTGTTATAAATCCAAACTTGTGGGCCCTTCTATACCTCTTTTCAAAGCCCCAGACCTTCCTGTTCACTGCCCACCCCACAAGCAGTAGCATCCTTTACTCACAGCACCATCTTCTGATCGATGCTGGAAGCTGGTGCTACTTCTGCTGCCATAGAGCAAGCATTTCCTTCCCCTCTCATGTACGTGTAACACATGGACTCTTTGGTATCCAAAAAAGCTACATTACCAAAGCAGCCAGTACTAGAGCTGCACAAATTCAGAAGAAAATAAGGAGAAAAAAAAAAAAAATCAATGTTTCACATAAGTAGTGACAAAAGCAGACAGGTTCAGAGATGGAGATACCTTGCAAGATTACAATGATAGCAGTGCACCAGTTATCATCCTAGCTGTCATCCAAGGAGGGCTTCCAGGAAGGGTCTGGAGAAGAGCAAAGAGGAGGGCTTTCAGGTGTCTACAGGGGCCTGGTCAAGCAAGGGCAATTGGGGCACAACAGGCATTTTGATGCTTGTGGAGCTCTGTTTCTTCTGGGGGAGGCAGAGGATGTTTCCCAGGGTAGAGAAGGATTTCAAAGCTTGGAGGACCCCCTTGGCAGCCAGGCATCATGAAACTGTTCCCACTGAGTGGGCTCACAGATCACAGTCTGGAAGCTTCGGGTTGTTTCCTCCTAGCCATGTCCTCCTCTCACATTGTTAGTAGTTGTTGGTTATTTTATTTAGATGCTTTTCTCAAAACAACCTTTGAAGAAAACCCTATGTGGTATTTCTATTCTCAAGATTTCTATTGTACAAATAGCTGTAAATCTCTTCTCTCATGCAGGTACTCCTTAAGTTAGTAAAAAACCAAAACAAAACAAAACAACAAAACCAAAAAAAAAAAAAAAACCAAAAAAACCCCAACAAAAACAAAACACCACATTTCCTGTATATCCATCCTCCACCTCTCAGTGAAATTTAAAAGAGCTGCTTTAAGGCTTATTCTGCACTTCCCTCTCTCCTTTCCCCTGGCATTCGGCATCAGCCCAGGCAGGCTGCAAAGTGATTTTGCACTGATAAACAAACCCCATTCAGCATCTGTCAGGGGGTGGCCAGGCTAAAATGGTCCAGCAGGTTGGCTTTTGCAATCAAGCAGTCCAACACAGGGAGATCAGGAGGAGCAAAACGAGGCCCTTATTTATCAGGACTAAGTAGCAGTGTTAATTTGCAGCCCATAACATGGGCAGCACTAGAAGGTTGGCACCCTGCAATCTGGCAAAGGCAAAACTTTCATGTCAAGTGGTTCCCATGGTAGTTACAAAGAAGAAAGCACTGTGAGTCTCCCTCCTCTTTTTCTTCTACATCTTTGGAAGATTCATCTTCTGCCACGTGTGTTACTCCACTGATGTTCAAGTAGGGGCTGGGTTTTTTTGCCCTGGCCCAGGAATGAAAAAGGAGTGGAAGATGATTTAGTAACAGCCATCTAACCCATCCTAGCCATGGGTACCAGCACACAAACTGTATATGTGTTTTTCTAATGTATATAAATCTATTATTTAACCCAGAAGTACTCAAGGCAGAGGACAGCAGACACTGAAATTTGACTTTATTTTCAGGGGAAAATAATAAGCCAATGTTAACCTCTAGCTAAAGATTTGAAGTAGGAATGGACCAGAATCAAAAGAACAAAACCAATGTTTGCATCCATCTCTTCCCAAAGTTGTGAGCAGTCAGCTAAGCAAGACTGACTAGGAGCCTTTCAGGTTTCCATCATAAAAGACAAACATCTTAAACCTCAGCTTTATGAACTGCTGACAGTATTAAGTAGATATAAATTGTGTGAAAAACAAACATACTGCACAGGACATTTCAAACATAAGGGCATCACCCATCATTCTTAGAACTGTGTTTTCTGCATTGCAGGAAAAAAAAAAATCAAGAAAATGTAAAAGAAAATCTTTATACACAGCTTAATCTGCCAAAAGTCATCTGAGTTTTGTGTGCACAAAAGCAGATACACATAGGAGAAACAGTAGATTCATGATAGGCAAATCTAGCAGAATAATAATTTATAAAGCAACAAATACTGTCAATAGATAAGACTAGCCTGTTCTGGACTCACCACCATCCGCACCCACATCAGACAGGTTTCTCCATATAAAGCAGCATTTTAACCACTGGCTAGCACAGAGCAAAATGCCACCAGATATTCATCAGGTCATATATTCCCTCATATGTCTCTACTTCTGCCCTCTGTTTCTGTTCTTCAGCAACCTGCTGCTGCAAGACCTGGGAACGTGGATAAAACTGGTGTAGCATTTGCCATCCAGCTCATCATTATCACTGTTTAAACAAGCAATATCTTACCAGGGTGGAACTCTAAGTCTGTAGCCAGATACACCAGCTGGAGTGTAAAACTTAGTCCTGTGCCGTGGCTCCTTTGCTCACAGCTGGCTATATATTAGCAGGGAGAAATAAACACACAACAACTCTAAGCACCTCCATATATCTTTCCAATTTTCAGCAAGCCGAGAGAGAAGCAGCAGCCCACCGCGCAGTAGCTCCAATTTTGCTTTCACCACACTGCTGCTGGTCATTCAAGCAGTACACACACAGCATGAGCCCCCCCCCCCCCCCCGAAATCCCTTCATACCAGCTTTAAATAAGCATCCTTATACCCTGCAGCAAACAATAGCAGGTGCCTCCAGCAACAGCACACTCTCTTTTCTTTCTCCATGCAGCCATCCTATGCAGAGTTTGACATTAGCGGCAATGTTTTGGGTTTGATCTTCAACCAGGGAATGATTTGGTAAGATATTTCCCACTTTTTGTTGTTTTTAGCATTATTCAGAAAACCTGCCAGTAGAGTTAGAAAGCTTCCAAGCCAGCTAGGATAACCTTTGGGTTTTGATTTCTCTGATTGTTTGATTTTCTGTGCTTGACTATAAAAGCGGAAATTTAAAAATGCCAGCTTAGTCATCTAAGAGGAGTAGCAGTGGCATAACTGAAACAGAGATCAGACACGCAAACCCTGCCCCACTCTCACTTTATAAGGTCATTTTTTTTTCCCCAGTGGTAAAAACATGTTCAGATGGTCCATGTGCTGGGGGAAGAGATCAGAAAAAGGGTTTGGGGGGCACTGCAATCTCACACATCAACGCATGGGTGGGCACAGAGTCAGCTAGAGCAGGTTGGGCAGGAGGAGCACATCCCAAAACTGCCCCAAGGGAGGGCAAACAGGAGCTGCTCTGCCCTGCTGTGGCAGCACCAGAGGCAACAGGTAATAGCAGAAAACACCCTCACCTCCCCTGGGAGCGAGGTGTCTTTTGCCATGGAATGATAATTTCTGCCTGTTCCCCTACTGCAACATCCCCGCAGAATTAAGGGGGTCGCTCCCTGCTGGTTACATTCACCTGAAATTTTCCAAGCTATCTCCAAGCAATTTCTGTCACAAACTGGAAATCTTTCTTTGCAACCACTGTGAGGTCTGAGACCTCACTGGTCCTCAATGCATGGTGACCATACCCTAACAAGGATGCAGGTGGCTCCTCCTCCAGGAGCACAGGGGTAGCACAAGCCAGCCCACTCAGACTTTGTGGGCAAACTTGCCACCATACGAACACTTGTTTTCCTTTTGAAAATAAAAAACCTTCCAGCCTGTCAAAAAATAGCACCTGTCCTTCTCCTTTCCTTTCCAGGATGGGATCCTTTTACGCACCAGGGCTCGTGGGTATAAACGTGCTGCGCTTGTTAACCTCCATGTATTTTCAATGCTGGGCTGTTATGAGTAGCAATGTCCCTCACGCACGAGTTTTCAAGGCGTCCAAGTCTAATAATTTTTACATGGGACTTTTGCTGTTGATCCTGTTCCTCAGCCTCCTGCCTGTGGCTTACACCATCATGTCCCTGCCTCCCTCCTTTGACTGTGGACCTTTCAGGTACTAGCAAAGCACCAAAAAGGCCATTTTTCTGCTCTGATACATGGGATTATTTTAATGAAGTTAGACGGTCTGGACTCCAGCAGAGATGGTGAAATGCCTCCGTTCTCCATCTGGTTAAATCCTTAGCAATGTGAGGCAACAGGCCGTGCCCAGCTGCGGGGGGCAAACAGTCAGCTGGGAGCACTGAACCTGCTCTCCTCCAGCAGGCTCGGCAATCTCGGCTGCTTTGCCTCCTCTGCTCCATGATTCCTGGTGTTTCCCTGACACACACTGATGAAAGCACTAGAGGACAGCAGGGATGGGACAGCAGGGTGCAGCCCCCAGTTATAAAAAAAAAAAAAAAAAAAAAAAAAGCTCAACGGGAACACCCCTAAGGCTCTCTGGAACATTGTGGGAGCAAATTGGGTCCAAAGCCTCCTTCTAAGACCTTCCATAGAGCCAAGAACTCCCCCAGAATGAGATGTATTTTACATGTTGAATTCTGTTCGGAAATAGCAGGAAACAGATAGGTCAGAGCACAAAAAGTTGCAGCTTTTCTTTATTTAAAAAAAAAAAATAAATAAAGCTTTTTTTTTTTTTTAATTAAGACAGAATCAGCACTGCACAGAGCATTCAGTGGACCAGATTAACATGACAATAAGGTCTAATTTGATTGAGTAACGCCATTTCTTGGGCCTGCTGAGTCTGACTCAGTAAGGAGCCAGCTTAGAACAAATTGCTCCTGTAGATGCACTGTTTTAGGTTATCCACTTGATAATGGAGAATGACAGCAGAAAGCTAAAAGACTCAGGGAAGAAGGCAAGAGACCAAAATTCCCTCAGTTCCATAACAAGGACATGTATCAACGAGCAATGTCAGAAGATCTGACAAGAAACTTGTTGCAGGCACACTATCATTTGGAGATGACTAATCTGCAATGTGAAAGAGCTATTTCAATTCCCAATCAACCCTTCAAAAGCCACTCAGCCTGATTCAGACCCTTGGCACACCTCTCAGCTCCACTGAAAGCTCAGCTCTCCCGGGCTTAAGGCAGTTGATGAAGTTGGGATACCGTTTAGCCAAGATCATCTTTATTGACTCTCATCATCAGGACAGAGTCCAACACCTTCCTGAGCAGAATCCTGCAAGATCCCAGGAGGCAACAAGCCTAAAGATGAGGAATAGCACTCATAGGGTTGAACTCCCCAGAGAAGCTGGGGAGAGAAGAAGGTCAATTATGTAATCCAGCCTTTTACAGATTTGTTCTCCTTTCATACAGAATATTCTTATCTCCTTTACCAATCCAGTTTGAAATGACTCTTTCACCAAGTTTCCTATTAAGCAATAATCACAGCTTGCTATTTTTGTCATTACTTAGCAGCTCTTCAAGTGGGCTCATTATTTCAGAAAGCTGGAATTTGCATATGGAAAGTAGTCTTTACCATGAAAAGGCCGTATTTAACAAGATATTGATCAGAAATGTATATTTACTGCAATCTGTAGGCTTTTATACATTTCAGAGCTGTAAATAGTCAGAACTCATAAAGAAGCCACATCTGAAAATAAACGTATTAACTCCAGGAGCAAGCTGGTCTAGCAAAGATTATTCATGTAATTGGTGAGGGGCAGGGAGGAATGGATGGACCAATAGATAATTTTAAATTAAGGCATTTCAAAATCTTTGGTGGGCAACAGCAAGATGATGTTCACTGAAAGAGAGAGAAAACATGCTACTTAACATTGTTAGATTAGGAGTTACTTTGTCCCTCCAGGAAATACCTACACTCCTTAACTGGCCATTTGTCTTTCCAGTGGAAAGAAAAGGATGTATGAAGTCATTCAAGAGACCATCGAGCTGGATTTCCCACTTTTTGTTGCCAAGATCTTCAGCTATGTGGCAAATCCAGGACTGATCATACCCGCAATTCTGCTCATGGTGTAAGTTTTCCTTGGAATATTACATGCCTGGCTGGGGGGAGGAGGTCAAAAAAAAAAAAAAAATGCTGGGACATTAGTGAGGTCTAAATAGAGCTTCTGCTAAGGAAACAGCCTGGATTAGGGCAGATAGGCTCCCTAGCCCCCTCACCTTCGCCCAACCCAATTTCCCAAAATTAAATTACCTGACCCAATTAAACACAACTTTGTAGATGAAACACATTGCTGACAGAATATCAAAGCTGTCACAGCTTCCATATGACAAATTTCCATATGACAAAGTCACCAGTAGGAAATAAATGGACAGTCTGAGCCTGGTGCCTTTTGGAGAAACAATTTCTGTCACAGGTGGTATTTACAACACTGCCAAGCCAGGGCATTCAAAAATTACATGTTCCAAAAGCTGTGGGCTTTGTTTAGGTTGTTTTGCAGGGGGAGGAGTTTCTTTGGTTGGTTGGTTTGGCTTCCATGTGTGGTTTATTTTTCTCTTTTTTTTCTTTTTCCAAATAATACATCTGGAATTTGTTTCAGTGCTGTCTGATCATTTCAGCTTTGAAACCACACTTAAATCCCTAGCACCTTCAACAGCACTGGGACCAGGGCAGCTCTCTTTTTTTCTTTTTTAAAAAGATATTTTTGTCATTGTTCTTAATGTTTCCATAGCTATCAAAACGAGTGGGAGAGCTGTGGCCAAATTTTATAGGCAGCCCTGAACAGACCAGACTAAACAGTGGGAGATAGGGAGAGGGCTGGGGAGTGTATTACATATGCTTGCCTCCTTTGACTCTTCCTTGGGCATCCACACACATTGGAGAGGGGCCTCTGGTCTGATCCAGTACACTTACTCTTGAGCACTGTGATCCTTCATTCTGAATATTACACTGATTTGATTTAATGGCATTCTCTTCAAAGTTCCCATGTTACAGAGTTTCTTATAGAAACAGCCTGAGAAAAATCCCAATTAAACCGAAAATGACCTGTCATCCCTCTACCTGCCTTGAACTACTTACTCATTTTAACCTAAATAAAGACGATCAGATACTATAACTCGTGCAGACAGATCCTACACTTGGAAGAATCAGATCAGATTACACACAGGAGACAAGAAGTCTCAAACTACATCTCTGGTACAGCCAAGCATGTTATTGAGTTATTAGCTCTATTCCTGGGGGCTTCACAGTAGCACTAGCAGATGCTACCGCCAACATGAATGAAGACTGCAGAGCTAATCCACCCCAAATGGATGACCTTTAGAAAAGGGCTGTAGGTCTGAATTCTGAGGCTTTGATATAACTCCCCAAAAAGGTGGTGGAGAGCAGTAGACCTTTGAAATTAATGTTTTGTCCAGTGACAGTCTCCTGCGCTTTCCTCCACTGACAGCTGGGACAGGAAACAGCAAAAATCCACTTTTTCTGCTGAAGAGATACATTTTATCACACCTTCCCTATTTGGGGTGTTCCCACACCACAGCCTTCACATCAGTCCATCTCTCCCAGACACCATTTTGTCTCTGCCCCAACCCCTTTGCAAACTGAGAGATACCCTATATCCACATTACCTAAAAAATCCTCACTCCTCACCCAGATACACTGCCTGTGCAGCCTTTGAGGCTATTCGGTATTTGTGATTTCCAGTTGCTCAGCTCCTGAGAGAGTCACAGCCCTAAAAAAGCAGTTGTCCCTATGGTGACTGGACAAGTCAGACCTACAGCCCCTTGGCAGCAGCTCTCACATGCCCCAAGAGCATCGGGTGCCTTGCAGAAGCACTGCTTGCTATGTGCACGCAAATTTTCCTGAGATAACCCCAGACAAAACCATAGTTATCATACAAGGATGTTTCCTGAGGCTTGGGTCCTCTTCTCCTCTCAAGCTTTTCAGTTGAGGGAATCACTTTCAGCAAGTCCCCAGTTTCCTGCTTTCTCCCTGAAAGTCTTCAGCTTCTGCTGCTACTTTTGCTGTGGTGCAGACAGGTAGACAGGGTCAAGCTGGAGCTAGTCCTTACACTGATGCCCATCCAAGCTTGCCAAGACATTAAAACCAGGGAAATGCAAAAGCTTCATTTGGTCCTGATGAGCAGAGAGCCAGCAGGTCTCAAATTAGCAGGCAAGGCAACCTACGATGCAGCCTAAATAAAAAATAACCTCTTCAGAGAGCAACAGTTGGATCATAAAGGGACAGCCTGATGATTTTGATGGCAGACACTCAAAAAAATGTGTTTTCTGCTTCTATGTACTGAATTAAGTAATTTTCTCTAGCCATGATAACTCATTCTCTTTTTCCAGGTGCAATCCAAAATGCCTCTTCTATTTATTTCTGTTCTTGGTTTCTGGTCCCAAACAATTATGGGGTCCAGCAGGTGACATGGGTGTCAAACTTACTGTCCTGTTTCTAGCTGCCTGAGGATAAAGGAAAAAGGGAATAAAGATCAAGAAGAAGCACAGATACTGTGCACACAGACATATAACCTTATCCCACGTGGACTGGGAGCAGGATTTCAAACTATGGCTTGCAGAGCTTCCTAGCAGGAACTAGAAGCACCTTACTGCATCAAGAAGAAAGAGAAAAAGATTGAAAACTATTGTGCAAGCTAGAGAAGGACAGTGACCCACACCCTCTCCCCAGACCTGAGGGAGCAGTAAATCAGAGGAGAAGGGTGCCAGGGCCACGCAGGATCCATGCTAAACAGCTCAAGCACAAGAGTGCATCCCCAGGCTCATTTTAGAGGCAAGCAGATCTAAAGCACCCCATTAAAAATGGATAAACTCCATTTGCTAACACTGACTTGATTTTCCAGAGAAGTTTACAGCTCCTCATGCTGCTGCCCACAGTCAGGCCAGGACACGGCTTTGCTCTGCCTTTTCTGGGGGCCAGCACTAGCAGCGTGAATCAGAAATTCAATAGCAAATCTGGCACACCTGTAGGACCTGCCCAGAACACTGTCATGCACCTTGGAGAATGACCCGGGCTGCTTCAGCACTTCTGAGGCTTGGCCTGAACAACCCAGCCCCAATCTGCTTGACTACCTTCAGATTCAGGCTGCAGCAAAGGCATCCCCCCAAATCCCCTTTCTGTGGCACTGTCCCTTTCCTCTGTCCCTCCCAAGAACCCTGAAGGGCAGTTCAGTCCTGGACAAACTCAACTTCCCTTGTGCAATAAACCTGCAATAAACCAAGGACAGATGAAGACTGTGAGAGGGCTCATATCTCACAGTGTTTGGGAGAGGGACATGGTGAGTTCCCACCCTTCCCCATCAATGTCCCCAGCTAAATACAGGAGTCAGCAAGGGAGGGAGCTGTGGAGACGATGCTGGCTGCTAATGCAGAGGGTGGGAAAGGACTGAAAAATGAATGGAAATGGATTTGTTCAGTTACTCAATGAACTTGAGAAGGCAGCTCAGAAACAGTGCATGGCATGTCAAACAGCTTTGAACAGGCAAATCTAGTTGTCTTTATGAAAACGAGTGGTCCAGGCACTTACATCCTAGCTGGTCACAACAAAAGTGGCAAAGCAGCCCCAACGCTCTGATTACAAAGTAACATTTCCCAAGCAATGAGTTTGATGATGTAGAAGAAATAAAACTATCACATCCTTACAGAAGAACAAAAATAACAATTTCCAAGAGGTTTTTGCGGGGCAAAGAGCCGGGATCACCAGGACTAAATTTTGGGTTAATGCTAGGCAAAAGGAAGCAAATCTGTTTCCTGTAGACAGAGCCTTGCAAGTAGCCTCAAGAAAGGCCATCCTAAGTACACCTTCCCAATCCCCCACCTGGAAACCAATATGCCAGCACACAGTGCCTTGCTGAGATTAGAGTCAGGTACTTGCTGACAAAATCCTTGAGCCTGGTTTGAAGATGCTGAACCTGGGCCAGACACAAGCAGGTTATGAACTGTCAGGAAACTTTTTTTTTTTTTTTCAGTCTGCCTTTTTTTTTTTTTTCTTTCCCCTTTTATGAGAGAATTTTCTACATTACTTTTTTTTAAAAAAAAAAAAAACAACAAAACAAAAACAAAACTGTAGTGGTAAACTGAAGGGCTGGTGTTTTTTCTGGGAATGGCTCATAGTTACTGAGCAGATATTTATAATTTAGAAGAATAAAAGCACTCTACAAAAGCAGGAGACATTTCTGACAACCAAAGTGTTACTGGCTGGCAAGTAGCAGCAGTGGCAAGACAGCCCCAGACGCTTGGGCAGGTTTTAAAACACGTGTGCCAAAGGCTGACTGCCAGCACACCCTCTCCCATCCCACTCGCCTTTCAGTTCCCTCCAGTTTGGCTTGGTTTTCCCCTGGCTTTGGTGTGCCCTTTTTGCAGAAGAAGGGACCAAAACAAAAGCCAGTGGCTCTGCTCTGACCTGGCTTCTGCTAGCCCTTGGTTCCCATCCCCTGTTGCTCCTGCCAGCCCCTTCCCAGGACCCAGGAGGCAGCCAGTCCCGGCCAAGTGGGAAGTAGGACCATGCCTTGAGCAATATGTTTTTCAGGAGAGGGTTCAGGGCTCTGTTCTGCCACCATTTTCCTGGTTTCCTAGTTTTCTCTAAGGTCCCCGTGTAACCTTGTGCCTGTTTTGTCTCCCAGGCCAGGGCTTTCCTTTGACAGAAAGCCACGTGTTTTATCAGCTGAGCTGGTTTTCAAAGCTGGTGCCTAGTTTCACCAAGCAAAGGGAGCCCATGGCCAGCCAAGGTAGAGGCAGGAGGGAAGGATGGTAATTTTTCTTCTGTTCGAGCAGAACTGAGCTACTGGACTGGCTCAGCCCATTTTAGCTGACCATTCTATGAATCAGCCTGAATTTTTGCTAAGCCTTGAGCCTCTAAAGGCAGCTAGTGGGAAAACTAGGTATTAGAAGGTAGGCAAAAAATTAAATGTCCCCTCCTTGTGAAACTTTCTTTCTTCCCTGATCCCATCACTACAGCAACACATTTGTTTTTGTAGCCTCGCCATCTATTACCTAAACGCTGTGGCTGAAGCGTATCAGCGCGCCAATGCAGAGCTGAAGAAGAAAATGCAGATGGTAAGTATTGATCTGGCAAAGCCATCTTTGATATGCAGATCAAACTTGAAGTACATGGTAACATATGCCTTTAAATTGCTCTTCACTCCTGAGCATGTTAGTGACACAAGGACAAGATGCATTTTATGCTTGTTCAGTTCTCTCTGATGGCACTAATGGCTAACTGCAAAGAGTGGTCACATCCCATAATAGGCTGCTATTTCATACATCAAAACTACAGTGATTTTTCCCGTAAACTGTGCTTTCCACCTACAAAAATAAGTTACCTCAAAGTTCAAGTAATGCTTTGGAGCCCGAGATTTCCCAGGGACAATGACAATTCTATCAAAACCACAGCCGGATTTTGTACAAGCTGAAGAGCAAAGAGCCATAAACAACAACATGGCAATAACATTTTTCCCAGTAATTCTCAAAGCACTCTACAAAGGAGGCTGGTGTCTGCCTCTGCGATGCGGGTGGGAAAAGCAAGTTAGAGACAGATGCAATGACTTGAATTAGCAGGAAGGATTTGAACCTCATGATAGCCAGAACTAGGAGAGGTTGCAACATGCACAACCTGCAAAAGCACAGCTCTGCTCAGGTAATAGTTCTCAATGAAAAACAGCAAAGATGTCCTGCTACCAGGGCCTGTGCTTCCCAGTCTCTCGGTCCTACCTGGGATGTACTTTCTTTCCCTAAAATCCTTGGTCACTGGACCAAGATTCAACACCTTGAACTGGGCAAAGAGATTGCATTCATACCAACAAACACTTAGCCAGGCCAATCATGACACCAGGACACCATTTCACAGATTACATCTATAGTTTCAAACTAAACCTGATGGGTTTTTTTGATGCAGCAACGCGAAGAAGAGAAAAACAAGAGAAACAACAAAACCAGCACTAACCCTGCGCTGCAAGATCTGGAGGATTTATTTACACCAAGTACGAAGAGTGAAAGTCACCCCAAACAAGCAGAAGGTAAAAACTAAACCTCCCCTCAACCCTCATGAAAAGGCTCCTTTTGCCACCAAACCGACTGGGAAGGATTGAGTCACGCACATTTGCAAGGGATGGGATGAGTATAACTAGCATAAATTCTCTCCTCTTACAGAAGTCCACCTGTCAGCAGGCACCCCAGTAAGGGCAAGTTTTTAGGCCGTATTATGTCTCACACAGGCTTATCACAGTGTGGGAACTGCAATCCAAAGTTATGATTCCTGTCCCAGCTATTAACCATGTCAGTCGTAAAACCAGCAATTTATTCTGGGAGTAATGCTGAAACTCCAGTGTTGTTTCTGGGCTCATAAATTGAGCCAGCTACAGACTTTTTTCCAAACAGAGGTTTTAATTGAAAAATTCATTATGAATGAGACAGAAGCTTTTTACAGGGCCGTGTTGGTCTTAGGGCAAATAAATGCACGCTGTAATCTCTGCTGAGGGGCAGAAAGATGCAGGAGGAAGCATTAGCACCAGGGTCTGATCACTCTCAGGGAAGAAAGATCTTCCAGGCTTGGTCTGAACCAGCCATCTCCTGACTGCCAGAGCCTCCTGCTCTCATTTGTGAGAAACAGTGCAACACATGTGAAAGGTTGTGATTTTATCTTGCTGCAGACGAGATAAACAGCCTAGTGCCACCATAACCCTCTTGCACTGAGATGGATTGTTTCTTGGAGAGGCCGAGACGAGCGGTAAAGTTCAGACCAACGCAACGCAGATTCCCCTCAGAGCAGACCCAGGGCATTCATTTAAATGGAAATAGTGCCGGCAGCATTGTGGATGCATTGAGAATAAAGACTAAAATCATCAATTATCCATGACCACCACATGGCTAGAAGTGCACCAGCATGGCTGGTAGGACTATCACGTCTTATGAACACATTAGTAAGAACCTGTAAAGAGAGCTCAGGCAGCAGAGACACATCCTGGCTGTTAGCCAGGGGCTAACAGTCTTAATTATGGTTTCTTCGCTCAGATGCTCAAACACAAACCCCCAGACACTTGGGTTACTGCGTGTAGAAGAAAGCATCCACTGGGGAGAGGAAGAAAGGCAGTGTTTGCTATCGCGAAAAATAACATTCATAATCTTTGCTCTAGACAAGAAAACAGACTCTCCCGATAGAACCAGCCCTGTCAGGAAACAAGGCAAAGCAACAGCCCCGGGGGGCAGCCCCATGACTGGCGGGAGAGGACCGGCGTTCACCCTGCCGCCGCACGTGCTGGTGACGCAGCCACCGACACCGCGCCTCTGGGCGCCTTACCCTGGGCACCCCAGGCCTCGGGGGCACCCACTGGGACCAGTCCCTGTAAGGGGGAGAGGGCAGCCACGCTACCTGTATCCTGCTCAATAAGCTCAGCAATGTTTCTCCCGTTTGACATTAAAATAGAGGTGCTGCATGAACTACTGTAGTTTTAGTAGGAAGCAATTACTGTATGTTGGTCACCCACTCATGATAATCTCTATCTATCCAACACTGACTATCTAAACCCACCCTGTTTAGAAGCATAGCAGCACTTTGGACTTGTAACCCTCAATGGCTGCACTGATTTTGATCACGAAGGAACTGAGAGGTAAACAGGATGAAAATCAGACGTGGCATTGATAAACTACTATATACAGGACACCAGCCCTGTGGCCACTAGCAGCAGCATGGTGAGCTTGCTCTGTGGTGTGAGTGCTTGTCAGTCCCTTTAAAGGCTCCTTCAGTTAATAAAAGTAGTATGAGTTTACCTGTCATTTCAATAAAGGGTTTTGGTGGTTTTTTTTTTGATGTCCCTGTATTTGAGGAATTAAGTATTATTTAAAAAAAAGTGAGTGCTCTTGTCCAGCTGCATGGCAGCTGCTATTAGGAGTAGAGGACTCCTATTAGACCAGCACAGGAAGAGGTTTTGTCAGCTGCATTTTTTCCTTTCTGACAGCTTTCCTCTAGTCTACCTCCAAACTTTCATCTTCTCGTTTCAACCCTGCTGCGTATCTCATCACTTTCTCTGGGCTCCCGCTCTGCTCCTCTTTTCATAGTCTGTTGACAGCAGTTTGCACCCTTATTTCAATCCCTAGATATGACTCCTAATTTAGTAACAACACCCAGAACAACTGAGACACCAAAAGTGCTTTGTCCTAGCTTCTGATTATAACCAGTTAGAAATTGCTGGTGCATTTTCAGAATCATGTCTTCCAGATCTACAGGACTTCCCTTGACTCCATGTCAGGACTTCTCTGGTATGCCCTGCTCTTCTACACTTACAGTTTGTTCCCGTTGTTGACACAAACCCCTACCAGTCAGCTTTGGTGTGGTGTTCACATATGTGATGCTCTTCATAAAAATTTTTTACAAAAAATAATCTCATGTTCTCCAGGAAAAACAAATCCATACATATAGCTAGTAACAATTCAACTGCAGATAGGATATTTGGGATTAAAGGTTTTCACCTTGAATTTTTCCACTAAATGCTACAAATCTTGTCATATGATATGTTCAGGACAGGAAACTCAGTAACTTATTTCTCCTCTATGGCTTGACAGAGCACAGAGCATTTGACCTCAAGTCTGGGAATGTCCACCTTGGAGGAACTGAGCAAAGGGGTACCCTTAGGTCAGACGTGAGACAGATTGGAAAAAGGATTCCATTTTTCAGGTGCAAACCAACAGAAGTATTTAAGAATCTGATTCCTCATAGGAATTAAGAGTTTAAATATTGTGCTGTGCTGCTTTGTAGATAGGGACCTAGCTCATTTTTTGATGTCCGTTCTTTCTAAAAGAGACTAGAGACCTAGAGAAGTACTTCCAGGAGATACAAGCAAGACTCAAATAAAAGGAAAAGTCAGAATTACTTCAAAAATCATTGCATTTTGCTTTCAAATACAGAGAAGTCAATGAGTTATTTGTAGAAATAGCTGTGCATGGTTTAAAGATGGTTTGGCTGTTCCCAGGCACACTACTGTGATGGTCAGGGCTGCTCATTCTCCTGGGAAGCCTCCATATAGGAAGCTGCTCATCAGATTTATTTCCTTGTCTTGAAAGGACATTTCTCTCAGCTAGATCTCACAGATAAGGTCTTGTCTTGCCTCTTTGCTGTGAGAATTGCTGGTGCAACCGAGCTGCAGTTGCCTCTTCTGCCTCCTCTGTCCGCAGAGGTACCCAGGTGTTGAACTAGAGAAAAGTCAGACAAGAGGAGGGGTTTTTTTCATGAGACAGAAGCTATTGCCTGCCATCCTTCTTCATAGGTTCCACAGAAAATACGGGACAGAAAGTGCTGGGGGAAGGTGCTGTCAGCCTGCTAATCCAGAAGGATGCTGCAGAAATGACACAGTGCCCTGATTTCAGCCTAGCCAGTCTGCCCTGCAGACTCTGGTATCTTAGTGAATGGGTGCATAATGAGGAATAGGATTTCCCTCCTCTTAGATACTCATCTCACATTAAAACATGATTTGGAAAGGGGAGATGTGGCTTCAGATATCACTCACCTCTGCTAGAAAACAGAAGGGGGCTGGAAACACGCATGTGAATACATGTCTGCACACGTGGAAAAAAGGTAGAGAATATTTATTTATTTGTATGAAGAATATAAGAGCAATGAGAAATATTAAGAAGCAGCCACAGAGAACTCCAGACAGGCTTTGCAAACGTGAAGAGCAGAGGCAGACTTAGACCAGATGAGTAACAATTCCAGGATTTGAATGCTCTCTAAATCAGACCCCCGAGACCTGCAATAATACTGAGCATTACAAAGCACTTTGTCATCTCTGGAGCACGCAACTGCCCATTAACCTAATTAATCTTTCATGGTTTAATCATTTCTAATGATAAAACATTAGGTTCACCCATTGATCAATGCCTTTTGCAAGCTGAGATGCTTCAGGATATGAGGACAGGATCAGCTGGACAACAATTTCTGCAGGCCAGTGGCAACTCTCTTCTGACTCCAATTCACAGCGGGGTCCTGTGTTAGAGAGCAACAGTTGTGAAGTCTGTAAAAATGCCAACCTTTGGCCCTCATATTGACCAAAATTATTATTTGGCTCTCTGAGTTTTGAGCCTATTTACCAGTTACACGCAACTGGAGGTTAAACTCCGCAAACTCATTGGGGTATTCAGTAGTGTTTGGTATCATTCTTATTTTTCTATTGTTAGGAACAGCAATAAGTACTTGCCTGAGAATTCGGCACTGATTTTTTTTCCCCTCCCTCCTCCTCTGACATTTCTTGAAAGAATATATCCACCCCAAGCTTCCTCTGGGGCTCAGGCCAACTTTGAGGGGGAAATTAAAAAAAGTAAATAAGCTCAGTGGTGTGTAATGGGAGTCTCCTAGGTGACATCTCACAGACCACGCCACTTGCATTCATGTATCACCAGAATCCCCCCGTATTGCAAGTTTTTCACATCTTCTATTGCCACTAGCTCAAATGCTGCATCCAAACGGTTTTGGTAAAAAACAAGGAGGTATCTAAGAGTAATTATTTTATTCTTCTTCTCACCAAGGGCTTGTTTTTAAACAGGCAACTCTTGTGGTCATCAGTTTTTAGTTTGTGTGGCCAGACAGAACATGGAAAGACTGAGCATCTGCTCAGCTTTACTGATGAACAGGAATCTCAACAAAATAAAAAACAGAATTTAAAAGGGCAATTTTGCAAAGCACGTGTGGTTAAGCATGAGCTGTGAAAGGGATGCCAATATTCACACTTCTCTTAGGGTTAAAAGTGCCATTCAGCCATTTCTTTCATGTTATGCTCGGCTGTGGTATGAGACAAAGTGCTTTCTTTACTCACAGTGAACTGAAAATAGTAGATGCCACTGAACAAGTTTGCTCATACAGCCAGAAAAGTGGTCCAAATCTCATGGGCATTCAAAGAATACGCTGATTTTGCATTCACTGACATAATACTGGGGCCTTGGGCTCTCCAAAGCAGAAAAATCACCTTTTCACTCCAGAAGGAGAATAAATTCCTTCCAAAAGAAAACTTGAAATATCCAAGCTTTCATTTTCAGGTAGCTTATATGAAGCTTTCCAAGGAGAGAAAGGAGAACAAGCATTGCACATCACCATTGACAGCATTTCCTTCCCCCCACCGATAGCCTCACTTACTCCAAACAAGTAGTCAAAATCATCTCGTTGGGCCCTCTTTCATCCTCCGCTCCTATAGTCAACCCTGCACTAAGATAATGCCATCTGTCACACATTTTGATCTTTCACAGCCATAGGTTTGTCACCTGGCTCGAAACTGAGCTACAGAGGTCTTGGGTGTCATCCACCTTCTTCAGAATCCTCACTGTCTTCTGTTGCACAGCACTGCTCATGGCAGAGGCAGAAGGATTTCCTCACTCCAGCTAACAAACCAGAGTTTTGGGGAGGGATTTTCAGTTTCTTTCAAGGTGCTGAAGGAGGAATGACATCTGCACATCTAAGCGACAGAAATCTCTCAACTGCTGAGATGCTCCACACACCACAGGAGGCATCAGGGACAGGGACCACGAGCCGCACTGGCTCCAGCACCCGCTGAGACCTACTCAGAGAAACCTTCACCGATGAATGCAGGCAAGGATGACAACCAACAGCCATTTCCCCACACCCAGAGAAAATTCCTGGTGATGGAGATTGATATTTTTTGCGGTTTATCCCACCCTACAAGGCATCGTGCTCAGCACACCTGGCTGGGCAGGGGCTCTGCCAGCACCACCACAGTGGCTCCCACCACTAAGACTTGATTTAATGTCCTGCGGACCCCTGGCTTGACCCTGGAAGGCCACGGGTGCAGCAGGTCACCCACCTCTCTGCACCCTAGCATGCTCAGACCTCTCTCTGCAACCGTACATCAGGTGATTTTGCTGCCACCAACACAGGTCAGACAGGGACCTTTGAAGCCTCAACCCACTGCATCTCTAAACCAGGTTTCTTCAAAGCAATGATGTCCTGACAAAAAATTAAAAAAAAAAAAAAATTAAGTGCTCACTGAAAGGCTTTAGAGTGATACCCCCATTTTGAGTCATGCTGCATGCAATGTTATCAGCTCGCCAGCCTGACAGCCATGGAGATTTTTTTTTCTGTCATGCTTTTCTTGCTGCTTGCCTAAGCCCCAAAGCAGCAGCTTGTTGTTTGGCAGGTGACAGCCCGGTTTCATCTGTGGCCAAGGCTTTATTTCTCACAAATGCTCAGACACAGTTTTTCCCTAGGAAAAAAGGCAACTCTGGCAACCAAGGATTTCTAGGTCCCAGCCCATTTCTCACACAACAGAGTCATCATCACTGAATCAGAATTCAGCATCATGTTTTAAATGGACTATACCAACACAACGCTATGCTGTGGCAAGCTAAGGCAGGGAAGCTTGGTTTTGCTGCAATCATTCATTTCCACTCACAGGACCCAACTCCCTGGGTCCCCTTCGATTCATCCATCTATAGACAGGCAAAACCAGTGGTGAACGTTGTCTCTATATCTTAAATTGGTGCCACGTGGTGCTACCTATGAATACTCGCCTCCTCCATGCACTCAGCAAACAGGACACTGAGATAACGATGAGCATATTTTACAGTGTTTCAGGATCAGTGTCATTTTCTGCACCACTCTTTCACGATTGACACCAAAACTGGAAAGCACTGAGGCAAGGGGATGGGTTTGAGGCTGGTGCACCGAGCACCGTCCCGTGGAAGCACGCAGGAGGAGGGAGAGGAGTTCCCATCCCAGGAACAGAAGGACAGACACCATTTCCCAGGGGCCAGAAGCTTTGTGCC